GTAAGGGTGTACTTAGTTTTTCACACATGGCTTCTCCATTTTGGCTTTCTTTTTGTAAAATGAACAACAACACATGACACATTACACCATGTCATCATTTATTCTGAGGTTGTATTTACCTACTTTTGAGAACTGCTAGGGACCAGATGATTTTTATTATGTCCTGATACATAAAACCATAGAACTCAAGGTTGTACTTTCTTTTTCACATGACTGTATGGGTACATAAATATAAAGATATACATGCATACATGGAGACTTGTATGCATATACAGTATGTATGTGCATGCATACATGCACATATACATGTGCAAACATACTCTAAAAGTGCAACAGTGGCAGACAGTTTGTTCAGACTAGCTAAAATCCCAAAGGTTGTTCTTTGGAGATACTGCTTCTTTCTAGCAGATAACAGTAGTGTAACTGCAATTTTTACAAATTATATAATCCAGGGTTTTTAATTTCTCGTTTTTAGAAGGACATTGAAGGACATGCCAACATTATGACACACATACCTGAGGCTCTGAGTGAAGATGGATGCTTTCTCTGGGTTCTAATAGACAGGGACTTTGTAGGGAAAAAACTGGCCTCTATGCAAGATAGGGTGGCCTGTTTGATGGCCCATTAAGTTGTTTTCGACTCCTAGCAACTATATAGATAGATTTGTATGGCCTACCAGATCATATTTGGAGGTCTTCTGTGCCTGAAGTATTCTATCACCATTGATCATGGTTCAAATAAAAATTTATCCTTTTTCAGAGTCTTTGGAACAAGTTTTTTCAGGACAAAGAACTTCGAGGAATGATTGAACAAGATGTAAAACGAACGTAAGCATTATTGCTAAACATTTTATAACATTTTATTTCTGTACAATACTTTTCTCAATGTGGTGCTTTTTAGATGTGGACAGCTCTAACTGCCAAAATCCAGTCAACACTCAGAGGGGACCAGTTTGAAGAAAAGCTTCAGCCTACAGGTCATATCATAGCACTAAAAGCTATATGCTTTTCCTTCTTTGCCTAAAAGAATAACAGGTTCAGATCAGATGCTACTTCCTCATAATTTATATACATGGTTTCAGTGAAACAAAAAGAACAGTTGCAGGCAATTTTTTTGGGTTAGTGGAATAATTAGGGATTTTAAAAACATGTATATTTTACAAAATAGATGTCATCAGAAGCCTAACTTTTCCTAAAACAGCTTCCATGAAGGATGAAGGATATGGCCAGTTATAAAACATCCACTTCCCAGAACATAAACTAGTGATGTTTTTCTCCCAATCCCTTGCAGCCTTCCTATCTCTCCTAGTTCTTCTTTACTAGCCCAGTCTACCATAGCCTTTTTTCTGTCAGACATTTTTATTTTGTATGACTTTACATACAGTTTATTATATAAGTTGACATTTTATGCAGCATACCCACTTCCAATTTGTCTTTTGAAAACTTAAAAAATATCAGATGAGGCAGGGATGCTGAGAGAAGCCCACAGATACATTGTTGCTCAGAGCACCAGATTGCCTACCCTGCATGGCCAAACTTTATTTTCTAATTTGCTTTTTTATGTAATTGGATTTATTATAAATCAGTACTATATGTTACATTAAAATATAATTATATGTATTTTAAAAGAGTTTCTGTGAGAAAGAAAAAAAGAATGAGAGGAACTCACAGATCTTGTGATTAAATTATGTTTATAATACAAGATTGAACAGATGATTTTCTGTAATTCCTAACACTTAATCAATAAAAAGTGATGTGTAATTAGTGAGAAATGTCATTCATCTAGAGGAATTTAGCACTGCTATTTTTGTGGATAACTTTCCTACTGTCAAAGATGCCTTCTTTAAATATTCCTTATTATCATTGTGAATGTACTTTCATCTCCGTCGCCCTGGGTCATTCCTGTTAAAGAACTTATCAAAGCTAGAATTCAGTTCCGGAAAATATTTTGTCAGAGAGAGAACTCTGATTGCATTAAGTAATTCCAATTAAGCTCAATTACTATTTATTTAGCATCTTGCTACTATGATCGTAACATAGTCCTATACTGAAATTTGGGATAAGAAAATAGTTCCTATGGATTTCAAAATGCAACTCGGTGTGACGCCTTTTTCCATTTATTGAATTAATAGGCAAAAAAAGAAACAAAACAAAACAATGCCCAGGAAATATTGACATTCCTTATTACTTTATTCTGTGTGCCGGTACCCTAGCTGAATTTTCAGATACATTTATGCTGTTAGATGTATAATTAAAATCTGACTATGCTTTCATGTAAATGTTCGCAGATGGTTTTTTTTTTTTGTTTTTAAAAGGGAACAGTTCAGAATGTTTAAGATTATATAAATATCTAAGTTATAATTGGGGAATTAAAATTTGAATAGGGATAGTTTTGCTAGTTTTAGAGCCATTGTAAAAATATTGCACATTTACTTTGGCAAAGGGCATGATACGTTTAGGAAAAATGTGTTCTTTTTTAAAAATACTGCTAGTAAATGAAAAATCTTGTACATCCATCTTAAGTGGTTGCTTATTGCCAGTTGAATGTACCCTTTACATTTCTATTTCTAGCATTATGTTTTTCTCACTAGTCTAGTTTAGAATGACTAAAACTTAGAGATGGAAGGGAATAAATATCTATGCAGTTCTCAACTCCTTCCCAGCATTCAGGACTTCTAAAATGAAATGAGTAATAATGGTCCTCATTACATCTTCCACTTTGTTCTTTGATTTTTTTATTCCTTGTTGTGGCACATACTGTTGATTTGGGCTAAACTTGCTTCCATATTACTGTAAACAGGTTCTCATCATTCTTTGTTAGAGCCTCAGAAAAATTTCTTCTTCATTGCTACTTTTTAGTTTTAACTCAGGTAAATCACCACCAGGAATCCATGTGGAATGTGGTGGTTCTAAATCACCACAGTAACTAAATCACCTCTAGGTGCAATTTCAATACACAGGTATTATCTTTAGCAGAAATGTTCTTGTGTGAAGTGGCAGAGCATTCTAAATGAGTAGTTTATGCAATAGGGGCTTCACTGAGTAAAAAGGAAGAAATGCAATAATTAGAATCCTACTGTAAATCCTAAATCAAGAAAATCAGTTTTTTTGAACTCTGTAGTCTATATTAGTGATTTTTTTTTAATCAGGTTTCCTGAAATGCAGTATTTCCAGGAAGAAAATGTGAGAAAAATTCTTACAGACGTTCTCTTCTGTTACGCTCGGGAAAATGAACAGTTACTTTATAAACAGGTAATGAAGTGTATTATACAAGTGGCGCTCCTTGCCTCAATATTTTTCCCTGTACTTCAGACAATTGATTGAACTGAAAGATAGGTTTTATTATTTTAAAGTTGGGTATAAAGACTGAGACAATGAAAAAAAAAAAAACATTTGTTAGCTGTGTGGTAAAGAAACAAGCCATTCATGCACACATACTTCCCACTCATGGTAAGGTACTCCTTCAAATTGTTTTCAGTGCTGCTGAAACTTAATTTTCCATCTTTTTAAAAGTCACAAACACTTGGTTTTAACTTTATTGTATTTTTTGCTAAAGCTTCTTGAAAGAGGGAATGAGAAAAGCTCTAATAGAAATAAAGGCATGTGTGGTTTTGTTTGCCTGGGGACAGCAGTGAGGCCTGGGCAAGATCCTAGACTGGATGCAGAAGCCTGATAATATGGACTGGGCCTCTGGACCAGAGGTTTCTCCAGGCCTGTTTTATGGGGACTCTAACTCCATCCAGAATATTTAAATGCCAACATGATCTCATCCATCTGCCTTTCAGGATTGAATTTAGTTTATTGATTGTCATTTGGTTTATTCATTCTAGATGTTGTTTATGCTTTATCAATAAAAGAAAAGTCCAGTGCCATTTGTATGCTGATGATATTTTCTTCCAAATACCAGAACAATGCCTGGGTTTCTTGAAGTTTTAAAGAGTACAGATGAAAAAGACTGTGACCTGAAGGCCCTCTTTGTTGCTCAAAATCAGTTGATTCCCAGTGTTAAATGCATTAAAGCTGTACATCCTAAAATAGGCTTGAAATAGTTTAAGAAAATAAAGTCCCCATCTCAACCAGGAAAAAATAAAACAGAAAATCCCATCCTTGCCCACTGTAACAATCCCTCCCTCCCCCCAAATAAAGTATGAGCTGCAGCTACCAAACAATTATCCCTCTCTTAAATAATACAGAATTACTGAAATATGGTGCATAGAATTCTCAGGCAAAGGAGCCTGTCCAAAATTTATCTTGGTCAACGGTATGCTATCACAAAATTCAGAATAATTAGTAGATCACATTTTCATCTGTCTCTGTTTGGGGAGATTCTGTAATCCCCTGTTGTTCACTCCTTCGCATATTTAGACAAATAGAGTAGCAATCAGCATCACATTTTCTACCTCACCAAATAGGACAAATTCCCATATAACAAATAAGAAAAGAACATCTGCTAAAATGAACAATTCATCTTAGCTGGATATGCTTTACTGCATGTGGACTGCATGTCTAGTCAGATCAAATAAAAAAAAAAAACTTTTCCATTTCCTCACAAGCTGTTAAAACTATTATTTTGTACTAGGTGACCTGTTTAAAATAGACCATATTGTTAATAGTTACGGGATTTTATTGAATTAATGAGACTGTTATCATGTTGTAGAATATGATGCTGGGTTAACTGAAGCTGCAGAGATTATATAAATGGTATTAATGAACTTTGACTGCCTAGTGCCTCTGCTTTAATAAAGACTGTTTGGTGGGCTAAATGAACATCAGCAGATAAAAGAACAGGTTCATTTTTGTGATCCTACTTGCTATTGAGAAAAAAAATGGTTTTACCTCTGTTTTTGAGCTGTGTCGTTTCCATGACTCACTAGAGGTAAAAGTACTGTAGGGAGCAGTGGACATTTCACTTGCTTAGTATTTGCACACATTAGGACATGAATGTTAACTATCATGTATTTCTATACTAAAATGTATTGATATTGTCCAACATTTCAATAACTTATCAAGTTATTCAAATAATTGTAGTAAATTTCATATTCTTTCCATAGGTTGTAATGTTTAATGTTTCTAAATTTGTAATAATTGCAATTTCAATTGTTGCTTGAATTCTGTCTCTGCAAAAGTTTAGGCGTCCACCTTTGTCAAAATGTTTCTTACAGTTGAAATTGCTAGCCAAAAGCCTTCAGCTATTTTTTTAAAGCCTTTGCTTTGTAAGAGTGAATTATTTTTATTTGTACATACTCAGAGAGATGCTTAGAGGAGCTCCTGGTTATTGAAAATAAAACCGCAGTCACAATCTGAGTGGAAAGAGAGGTCAGAGTATTTGTTCACCTGTGGAATTTTATTTCCCTGGCTAATTTTAGGCCCAACCTTTTGGAGCATTATTAACAGCCTTATAGTAAAAGAGAAGACCGAATCAACTGGAAGGGTGTCCAAATTTCTGTACCTGCCATATTTGCTAGTTTGCATATTTATTTTGAATCTGTAAACAACCTCACATAAATAGCAAATATATATTCAAATTTGCAGGAAAATGTCATTTAATTTTGTGCTAAACTGTTTTGGCATGTCATTATGTTTTCATTTTGTTGGAAAAGTACAATGAGTTTAGATTTGTTTTCTTAATTGTATCTGAAGGATACTCCTAGATATTAACATTAAGCAGAATCAGCTAATTGCTTGTATCAGATCTACAAGTAAAGGATCCCTCTGCCAAACTCTTTCGGGATATAACTCCCACATAGACACACTTACTGCAACATTACAGGCAGTTGTTTAGCCTTAAAATATACTTATCTCTAAAAAAGGTTTGATTTAACTAAATGAAGGCTTGCATCAAGTAAAATTACAACTCTAAATTTGAAGGATTAACCTATATGTTAAGAATAAAGTTTATAATTTTTCATACATAGATAATTGTGCCCAAATCTTGCCTATATCAGTTGGAATATTTGACTTATTAAACCTTTTGAAATTATCATCTCATCATACAAAGCAGTGTATTTCATTTCCAGCAAGTCTTTCTCCTCTAAGCATCATTAAATATTTGAGAAGCTCCTGAAATTAAGAAAGAAAGAATAGTACGATGATGTCATTTTATTCCAATACACAATGTTTAAGTAATAAGAAAGAAACCCAGCTGAACTATCATTGAAACTTTAAGTTTATAACACCTTTTTAAAAAAATCTAACGTTCTGTTCTGGCTATTGTGCCAATAATTTTGTATGGAAGAAACTAACATTCTAATCCCATTTCCATATTTCCTTTTTTCATTTTACATAACTCTCTTGATTCATTGATCAGTGGTACTACTAAAATGGCCCTAACTCCATCCTGATATCCTCTTTATACTGACCCAGAAGTAAATGTGGTATGTCAAAATTAGTATAGAACTTGTGCCAAAGCAACTGTGAAAGATTTAAGCAAGTAAAGCTAATGATAACAGAAATGTTTCTAATGTACTTGATCATTGTTTGAACTAATCAGTAACGAATAGTGCCTCTTTAGTTTCTGCAGAGTCAAGCTTTGTTTTTTTAACAATGCTTTGATTCTTAAGGGAATTGTAGGATATAGATACCCAATAGTTACTGATTTTTACTTTGGAAGAGATATCCTGTATAATAGCTTATCTGCTTGTAAGCAGTTTTTTCCAAAGTAACCTCAAGACATTGTTTTATGACTGAGCATGTAGGTTATTGGCAAAAGCAAAATTTAAAGAAACACTCTACTCTTTTGTATTCAAAGGAAATATTTAGCATTGCAGCCCAATTATAACATACACTTGAAAGTTAATGATTTTATAAAAACCAAAATCACAGTAAAACAACAATAATAATATAAAATAAAATAAAAGGAACTATTATCAATAAAAGCAGTACAGCAGATAATAAAAGCAAGGGAAAACCAACAGCAGAAATAAAACAACAAATATCTATAGTACCTGCATTAACATAGTTCTTGAAATAACCTGGGAGTATAATAAAAAGTTCTTCAACTCATGCCAAAAATACAATATTATAGTTTCCAAGCAACCCTATCTTAGATACTTTCTATAGACGGGTGGTTTCAGTACTGAAAAATCTCTCACATCATTTTAGTTGTGCAGTGTTTTGAAAGGAACTTGGAACCAAGTAGGTGAATATGGGAGGAGATGCTCCTTCCATTTAACTAACCTGCTTGGACTATGGTTTCCAGACTGTTTTCAGTGGCAACACTGTACATTGCAGATAGAGTCATATTTGGAATATAGGATCATCCCCAAACTACAAACCTGATCCATGACTTTTCAGCCCTTAACTCCACATAACTTTTCCCAGTACTTTCACATAAACACTGAAAATCATGAAGAATAAGAACTTAAGGCATGGCCTACAGGATTAGGCAAAATGTTTATATAGTCCATCAGTCTGTGTCACATAGTGGTCAACCAGGTGGATTCAAGAAGCTTACAGGCATTGATATTGACATTTTTCCACTGTTGTTCCCTACAGTTGTTATAAAATATATACTGCCCGTCATTTAGGAGATAGTGTGCTAGCATCAAGACTAGTAGCTATCATTGCTACTAGTCTTGATCTTCCATGAATTTTTTTCAGTCCCTTTTTAAAACCATCTAAATTGGTGGTCTACTCCACATCTGATAGCAATGAATTCCACAGTTTAACTCTGTGTAGACTACTTCCTTTTGTTAGTCATGAATCTTCCTGCATTTAATTTTAATGAATTACCCTGAATGCTAATATTGTAAAAGAGGGATACAAACTTTTCAATATCCATATATTCCACACTATGTAAAACCCTAGTGGCTGTAGTCTTTCCTCATAGTAGAGCTGCTGTTATTCATAATAGTATTTTTAAAACCAAAATCATTTGATTTTTAAATAGATCTAAATGTACAGTAAATGCTGAGTAGTGAACTGTAACCTGTTGATACTTTTCTATTTTAAAATGTGATGATTTTTCCATTTGTTTGAGAAGAAATGCCTGGTTAAAATGTAATCTATACTAAAGCCATTCAATAATAATCATAAATTCAGAGTTGACAAATTCTGATAAATTAGACAAAACCTAGAGTTTTCTTTTTAATTGTAGGGCATGCATGAACTCTTAGCACCTATTGTCTTTATTCTGCATTGTGACCACCAAGCTTTTCTACATGCAAGTGAAGCAGCACAACCAAGGTAGGCGCCTTAGATTTTTTTTTCATACAAAATACATTGCTACTAAAATAGTATATGCAAATTGAATTCCAAAGGTAGTATCTGTTGCACATGGTCATTGCCAGAAGCTATTATATTTGAAGAATGATATAATCACAGATGAACATATTTTAGCTTGGATGGATCTGTTCAAAGTCCAAAACTATGTAATTCCTGTGTTGGTTAATTCTACTATCATAGTCAGATTTAATAATACTAATGCAAGAAATTTTATTGGTGAATGTAATTTTTCTCTTTAAGCCTTAAATACAGCTATGCATTTATATCCAAATTTAATATGTTGCTGTTTGGATTTCATGTTAAATAAACATATGAATGTAAACTTATTTTAAAATATGTCACTTAATAATAACTGGTATGTTCAAGAAGAGACCCTTCATTTTATAGGTAAACTGAATGTATAAATATTCAAATAAATAATTAGATGTGAATTGCTTCATAAGTACTTTCATTCTCAGTACTCAGAATAAAGAGCTTAGATTTAATCTGTAAAGAGTTGAAACTACTTAATATCACTCATCATACTTTGTAGAATTCCTTTTTCATATATATTTAGCATCTAGGAGTCTTAAAATCCCAGTAAATAGTATTATTATGCTCATTTTTGGTAACAGTATTTAATACAATATATCAAGAGAACTGTTACTTGGTGGGATGATATGAGTTTACTTTTTATGCAGCTTCTGTATATTCAGTTAATTCTTTTTAATTAGATTATTCATTTTGGGTAGAAACCCAGTATCAAATATAAGCAGTGGGAGCAATAGAAATGGAGGAGTCCTTCCTTGACAAATTAGTGTTTAACATAAGATTTTACATTGGGGTCACTATTTGGAAATAGAGCAAAGTGACACCTTTCTAGGCAGTTGACACTATTGTATTATCTCATGCAAAGTTGCAGAGACCCCAAAATGGCTGCCATTTTGCAAGATTGCTAAATCCTATGAGATTTCAGGGATTTTGCTCTTTTGAACTCCAAACTCTTCGATATATGCCACACATTCCTTTAATGATTCAGGCAACATACACAGTTGTTTTAGTCATGCGAAGTTGTCAAAGCTTGGAATTACTGACACACGTTCTCTGATTCTCAGCCACCTGAAACAGAAGATCAGTAATTACAATCAGTGCATTGTTCTGTAATGTCAGTGAGGATTATTGTAATGCTCAATATAGAAAACAAAAGTCTTGCTAAATGAAATCTTACTTATATTGGGGTGGATGCTCATTAAATAATTAGGAAATTATTTTGGCAAAGTAAAAGGAATCTCTAGATACATGTGAGCTGTTGGTTATACAGTTTGCTTGCTATGCTGGGTTATGTCCTCTTCCCAAGAATCAATTAACACACAAGAACTCTTCTCCTAAAGCAAAAGGATATGTAGACAATAGCAAGAAGGGAGAATCTCCAAGACATGAGTTACTTTCCATGCACAGCTGTATGAAACTTGGCTAATAGTTGCATGGATTTAATGAGGAAAAAAGTGTCAAATTTCTCAGTGGTACATTCACTGTGCATGTTATCTTTCTCCTTTAATATTAGAGTTGTAACCACAGAAGAAAATGAATAAGAGCCATTGTCACTGATTAATTGCTGCTAAAATGTGATAAAAAATAAATTCTATTCAAATAAAGTACTGTTTTAATAATATATTTGACCATTAAGCTTTTTGTTTGTTTGTTTGTTTGTTTGTTTTCAGCAAACACTGATCAATTATTCTAGATCAAATTTATTGAAATAATACATTGTGGCATTCAGTAATTTGTTATTTCAAATAATTAGATAGTTCCTTCATTGTTTTGCAGACGAGGCAGCTAGTTTGTTTCTGATCTATAGAAAGGCTGATCTATAGAGAGTAAAGGCTCCATTTGTCTAAACAGGAATTATAATTTTAATTATAAAGGCTAGTTTTACTTAGCTTGCATTTCTTCTATAAGTTAGTTAAGGGAACTTCCAGAAATAAATGTTTAAATATGTATGTGTATTGTTTTTTTCCAGTGAGGAAATGAACGTTCTTTTGAATCCTGACTACCTGGAGCATGATGCATAGTATGTTCAGTAATTTTCATCTGTTCTTACATTTATGTATCTGATAATTATAATTATCATTCTTATGAAATAATGTAATTTTTTTCAGTGCAATGTTCACCCATCTAATGAAAACAGCAGAACATTGGTTTTCAACCTATGAACATGACAGTCAAAAGGTACCTGTTGATAAAAATTCATAAGTAAAAATTAATTCAGTATAATTATTGAATGAGAGTAAATATGTTATTTTTAAAGTATGTTGTAACAATATCTTTGAAGATTTCAGTCTTGGGCAACTTAAAATTTTCATGGTAAACAATTATAATTTATTATATAATTTATTATATAATATAATTCCATATTCCCTTGTGACTACAGTACCACATCAAAACAAAACTGCATTAGTCTTTTTGACACAGAGATCAGTAATCTGATCAGATCAAGTATGTCACTGTACTATTTATTTATTCACGGATGCATGCATGCAATTTATAGGCTGCCCAACTGCCAGCAACTCTGGGCAGCTTACAATTAATAAAAAATGTAAACAAAACAAAAAAGGAATGTAAATAACATATAACCAAAAAAGAAACCCATCCAAAGGTCTCACATTTCATCCTGCCCCAAAGCATAGGAAAATAGCTAGGTCTTTAATAGCTTCCTGAATGTCATCAGGATGGGAGCCATATGGATCTCTGGGGAGTTATCATTCCTGAAGGCAGGCACTTGGACAAAGAAGGTACATTTCCTAGGTCCCACAAGATGACACTGCCTATTTGATGGGACCTGGAGTGTGCCCACTGCCCACTTGCACCAGATGGGTAGAAACAACTGGAAAAAGGTGATCCCTTATATAATTAGGCCCTATGCCATGAAGGGCTTTAAAGGTGATAACTAGCAGCTTGAATTGCACCTGAATTGCACAACAAGATGTTCTTGTGACTCATCCTTCACCAGCAGGAAATGAGTCACATTAAACAGTACTGCCAGGTGATTATCATTAGAAATAATAAGGGTATATAAGTAACTGTGTTTGCTGCCCTTATTGCTACAATGTGATCCCATCTATGCACTCTTACTTGTGTTCAGTCAGACTTGGTCTTCATCTTCCTCCATCTGTTCTTCAGACATCTCTTCTGGTGCTTCATCTCCCTGAGCATCTTGGAAAACCAAGGAGCAGCCTGGATCAACACATAGGGAAAGGTTGCGTAGGAGGAATCTGGTCCAGGGCCCAGCCACCTGCTCATTCCTTAGCTAAACTAAGGCTCTGCCAAACTGGGAAAACCCCAAGCTCCTTCTGGAATCCTTCAAGGCCCATCAGTTGCCTAGGTCAGGCCAATCGAACACAGCCAACCTCACAGAGTGGGAGGATGGCCCAGCAAGCTGAAAAACAATTAGAAAGTGATCTAATCACTCCAAAACCAGATCATGTCACAACTGCCTGAGACAAAAACTGATCTAAAGTACAATCCCAGTACATGTCAGGCCTTTAATAATTTGGCACAGATTTGTGGTTGCCATTGAGGTCATGAACTCCTGAAATGCAATAAATTGAAGTCCCCAAGGACCAGTAGCCTCAGGGTCTCCAAAACGAGCCCAACATCAGAATCTAGCAAGAGTTGGGGATTGGTCCCAGAGAAAGAGGAAGTCATGAAGGCGATGGCAGAGAGGAGCAAGAGAGAGATCCACTATGTTATCTTACCCAAAGCCCATACACACACTCAGAATGTGCATTGGAAAGCATACTGGTGCATATTGCAGATAACGAAGGACCAGAAAACTTGCCTATTTCCATCTCTTCACCTGAATTTGAAACTGAATATTATGGAAACTCCTAGCTGCATTTCTGATGTATAATACCATAGCACTTACATGTGTCAGGGGAAAACCTCGTTAAGCATAAGAGACATACACACCAAAACACTGACCACTTCAAAGACTCTAAAGGTTAAAATTTTATTAAAAGGTAGTTCAATAGGCAAAAACATAACATACTTACATAAAATCACATTGCAATGAGGACCAGCACGGACAGGCGGTCAAATGGACAGCTTGAGGCCAAGTGGCCCTGACCCCTTGTCAGCAATCCCTTTTTATTCCTTAAAACCACAAACCACAATCTTGACTCCCAAGATATGCTATCATCCTTGGTGCTAATTTTATACCACCTCCCTGTTTCTTTCTCCTGCCACACTCCTTCCATCAGCACTTTACTTTGTCCATCTGTTTTCCGGCTTCCTGTCCGCGGCTGAAAACTTTAGTCCACATAGCAAATTTATTTATTGCTCTGTAAGCTTGTTTTATTTGGTGTTAGCATTTATTGCTTTATAGCTATTTTTATTAACAAAGGCCTTAAATATTAATAAATCTTTTTTTTTTCTCCTCACACGTTTGTATTGCGGGGGGAGGGATCTCTTCATAACGTTGTTGACTTATATTTTGATTGCAGGCTTTGTAGATTGATAAATTTAACAGCAATGCCTACAGCTTTCTAATCTAGAATCCTAAATGCAAAGTTTTCTTTGTCTTTACAAGAATGTTCAGCTGCAGGGGACATATATTTATGCTTCAGCAATTATGATTAATTTTTTGTAAACTTTTGTGTGGGTATCTCAGTTAATTATTTAGATGTATCATTTTTGTTTTTATCCATTTTAATAGGAAAAAGATGCTGTGATGACCCCTATTCCATTTGCAAGACCACAAGATATAGGTCCATCAATAGCTATTGTTGCAAAAGTTAACCAGATCCAAGACCATTTGCTAAAGAAACACGATATTGAGCTCTACATGCATCTGAACAGGCTTGAGATTGCACCACAGATTTATGGACTGTAAGTATTTTGGTTTGATTACTTTTTAAATACAGGAAATGTTAAATTTAAAGCACATCAACAGCAACTTTCAGTGATATCCATCTTTCATGTATGTTCCCTCTACTGTCATATTTCTAGATATATTCCAGAGTTCAAAGCTCTCAAAGTTCTGCAAATACAATTTGTCATGCTATAATAAAAGCAAAGAAAATAGAGCCAGAGTTGCTTATGCTTTTACTCTTTTTGGGGGAGAGGGGAGTTATAACAACCCCTTACTTCCAAATTTAGGCAGACATTTGATTATTAATAAAATAATGATGGTGTATGTGTTTAAGTAATAGCTGTGGTTGCAACAAATCTTACATCAAGAATTGCATTTCCTCAGGATAGCCTACTGGAGCCATGTTCCTGAGATATGCAGGTTCCGTTCCATAAGCAAAGAAGGCTACCTCTTTTTTTTTCTTGCCTGCCTGCCTGCCTGCCTTCTCTTCTCTTCTCTTCTCTTCTCTTCTCTTCTCTTCTCTTCTCTTCT